AAGAAATTCCTGCCACTAGGTGGCAGCAGATGTCAACAAAACTTGACCAAACCGACTCAGGTCTCATACTGAAGAAGTGACTTATTTACTTCACCTGTTTTTTTTTTAATGTAAAACATGTCATTGTGTGTTTGCATTAAACTTGACAAACGACAAAGGTGTCCACGTTTTGCACTGACACTGTACGGTTCTTTACTGTACTGTGATTTTACTGGTATTAACAGAGTTGCTCTATCATCGTTCTGACTCTTTGGACTTTGATTTAGATTTAATTTTAATTTAGAAAATGAAATACAAAAAGTAGTGAGTGCTATTTGTTTAGGATATTGGCGTTGTTTTTAGTTACACAGTCTTTGCCACTTTTGTAACGCCAAATACAGAGACGACTGTACTATGCAAACCCTGATTACTAATCGTTATTTGGGCAATTGAAACCTACCTTTAGACAAAAGGTAGAGCGAAACCTTAAGCTCTATTTGTTCGGGTAGTGTTGCTGACTGTTCACATCAGTTTGGCTTTGCTCAAAATTAAAGTGCTCGCCCTATGTTACTTATTGTCTAAAGTCATTCAGCATTCAGTGACTTCCTATGTATGTCATGCATGTCTGCACATGCGCATACACCAACAGCTGCTCAACTATGCTGACCTTTCTCTGCTGTCCAACTGACCTTCTCCACCTATGGTATTAATTTCTGTCCCTCTAATAGTATAGTAGACGCCCATACATTCTCTCTCTCCTGGTGCCCTTGGCTTGATATTATCATCTACATGTACATGGCAACTACATCTGATGACTGATCTAGCCTGTGCAGGGGTCCTCCGTTTATGACGTCTTCAACCTACGACGTTGCTCTGTAACACTTGCGTTCGAAAAACATTCATTGTAACGTGGAAGACGGCTCTGTTTACAATCGATATAGGAACGCCATATTCATTAAGGCATTTACATCATTTACAAGCATTTCTTGTCCTTAGTGCTGTCAGACCAAATTGAGGAGGACAATGAAGAATTCAACAGCACACTTTGGGGTCACTGCTATTTCTTTATCCTGGGTATACTTCAATAATACACAAATGTATTGGAATGGTATGGTCAATACATCAGTGATTATATATAGAGATATTTTGAATTTTTTTTTCAAATATTTTGGAAGATTTAATGTTTATACATTATTGTAATGAATCACTTCTGCATGAAAAAAAAACAACTCTCGGAAATTTGAAGTCAACAAAACGATTGTACGATACGTTTTTGTATAAAGGCACACTCACCCAAACAAAACATTTAAGTCTATACAATATTTCACATATATGCAATATAACATTTTTAAACCAGGTATATTTAACTTTACTGTATATATAAAATATATGTCTGCATATACATATATATATTTCTTTGTGTGTATACATATCTATATTAGTTTTTGGAGGGAGACAGACAACAAGACAAATACTTACATACGACAGGCTTTTCAGAAGAAGAATCTTGCGTCTCTTCCATACATTAAAAAAAATGGAGAATACTGGTTGATGGTTTGAGTGGTGGATCGCAGTGTAAACAGCCTCTCATCGAGGTGTTGGTCCCAATTCTCCTGCTGCTCATTTACCAGCTTTTCAAATGCGCTATATGGAATATATTTCACTGCATTAATAAAATAGCAATATAACAATCACAGTGAACAATATAGTTGTGGTAGTCAAGAAAAAAAACTTACCTTTTCATTTTATCGTCGAGCTCCTCCACGAAAACATTTGGTTGTACGTGATGTGCGATAATCGTGTTCTCTCCGATTGACAGCATTTGAACAAGTTTCTCGTTAACCTCACATTAAACAAACTACAGTTACATTTTGTAGAAGGTCAAACCAAACTACATTTCAGAACTTGAGGAATTCCCATTGTAAAACAACAAATGCTGAGACAACACCACTTTTCTGAATGTTTAAACTCACTGCTTGCCAACCGGTTCCTGTGCAAAATGTGTTTTAACGCCATATTTCTTTCTTAATAAATTTACCGTAATTTCCAGACTATTGAGCGCACCTGTATATAAGCCACACTAAATTTAAAAAGAAAAAAAAACTTTGTACATATATTGGCCACACTATATTCTCTATAAGCTCTCCACCTTGTAACATGGGATATTTACACAAAGAGACACTTTTTTTTCCCACTTTTATTAAATAAATACTTTTTTTCCTGTAACACAGCTGGTTACACGTTAGCTCTTTCCTGCTTTGGCGCTGCAACCATAGGTGGAATGCACAGGGGAGACTTAGTGATCTGCTGCAGGGCTGAAGCTAGCATTAGCTCCGGGGCTAACTCTCGTCACTTTTGTGCTTGTCCGCAGCAGAGGTAAACAGAAACAGGGAAGTTGGGGTCTTTACTATGAGCGGCCTCATCAAGTAAACCTGAAAACGCAATCATTATTCCTGAAAAGCCAATGATTTCCTGTCAAAGGATGCCCCTTCGTCCACAGAGCTGTGGGCCATTTGAGGTTAGGAAGAAGTAAAGAAAAATATCACATTAAATTGCTATCCACAAATGTGGCCTCAACAGCCCTGCACTGATGACTGTTTGTCTATTGAACATGCTGGCTCAGGGCAACATCTACCATTTGTACCTTCGTTGCTTCCTGGAATGGAGGAGTGTGGTTAAAAAGATTATTTTCTTTCCCTTCCAGGGACTGTGGATAAACAGCCCGTTCACGACGCATTTCAAATGGAGTGAATTCAGAAAGTCTTACACTTGCAGCACGTCCAAGAAGCCAACGTAGGTCCTAAGAGACGTTTTTTTTTAAACAGAGGGATGAGGTCAACTTTAGAGTGAAACTAATCTATATCCACAGCTGCTGTTCTCCAAAAAGACAAGAACCTGGAGCAAACATGAGCAAGAACACAACTACACACACAGCCAGAGCTACAAGCAACAATGAGCCAACAAAGACAGGGTGAGGGAGGCACAGGACACAGGTGAGAATGATGACACTGATTAACTCAGTTAGGGTTAGGTTATAAGAACTATAACAGTATAAGCAGCTGTGAAATGTCAAGGAAACCCTTTAAGATTGCAGATTGAGTGCTGTTTAAATCTTTTAAAATCAAAAATGAACATGTCAAGTTCACCATTTGTGCCCAAACATATTCATTTAAGCAATTTCCAAAGGCAGCCTGTTCTGACTCCAGTCATTTCTATATGTGAAAAAATTGACTTCATTTGAAAAGAATCCAGTCATATCCCTTTATGAAACTGCCAATTATCTGGGTTTTCTTACACTTCTCAAACATTTCTGTGTGGAAAAAAACCTGCAGCTGATATTCCAAACAGAGACAGGTGTGTCTTTATTACTCTGACTGTATTTATTTTTTATTTTAAAATGACTCCAAAGCCAAAGAAGGAAGGAGTCAGGTGAGGGACTTATTTTATTAGACCAACAACTAAGCGTAGTAAACCAATATTTTTACAAGTGCCCTTGGTTCAAAAGAACAAGAATCAAGAAGTAACAGAAGCAAATGAACAAAAGTGTTGACGTTGACCAGCTTTTTAAAAACTGCAGTACTGTGTTGTACTGTAAACGTATACATTTATTTTAGCACCCCGTCCTGTAAACCTAAAACCCAAACATCAACATTACATTCCATGAATATTATTTATTACTTATCCCCCTTCTTTTTCTTCTTTTTCTTGTCCTTATCCTTCTTCTTTTTCTTCGACTTCTTTTTACCCTCATCACTGTCGTCACTGTTGTTGTGTTTGTCCTTACCGCCGCTTCCTTTACTTTGGTTTTTCTTGTTTTTGTCTTCCACTTTGAAACCGGGTTGGTTACTGCTACTCAGTTCCTTGTTTCCCTCCTCGTTTATCCTGACATTGGAAGGAGTTGGTCCAAGACCCACCGTGATGAGCATCCTCTCCTTACACATCTCATTTTTCACGACGTCTCCATGTCTCTCCTTGGAATTTCTGTGGTTCCCCCAGTCCTGTTGATGGTCTACGTGGGGCTTGCGGTTTCCTAAATCTTTATGGGACTTGTAATCCCTGTGGATTTTTCGGGTCGGGTCGGGTTCCTGGTGGTGTTGGTGACCGGAGCTTAAAGGATGGAGCGGTGCTTTCTTGGCTCCGTCCTGCTTCTGTTCAGATTTTGTATCTGTTTGCACTTTCTGCTTAAACAAAAGAAAGAAAAAAAAGCGCCAATGTTATTTAAATCCCTATGATTTTCAAATCTGAACCGAAAATTCAAAATGAAACGAAAAATGAGAATTATTTTCATGTGCTATGCAACAACAACAGTTGCTTTAAAACACACTTGTGTTTGTTGCAGCTACCGGAAGAACTTAGCAAACAGATACTTGCTGAAGAACTTACACCACTCGGGTTTTTTAGATACTTGGTGAAGAACTTACACCACTCGGGTTTTTTTCTTGATGGACACTTGCATGGTTTTCAGCTGAACCCAAGTCTCCGATGAACTCCTCGCATTTCTGACAGTAAAACCCAATCACTGGCGTCAGAAAACCGAGTCCTTCAAAAGAAAGTAAAGGGCAAAGTAAGCATTTGATTTTTTTTTTTTTTTTTCAAAAAATGTGTAAAAACAGAACAAAAGTCTAGTCCACATTACCATCCTTCGTCATTAACTCATTCAGTTCCTTCATCAGGCATTCTATTTGAGTTATTTTTTCGTGTTTCTCTTTCTTTTTGTATTCAATATGACATGCCTGGATTAAAAAAAAAACAACACATTAACATTTCCTTCCATTTCAAAATAGTAGCATCATCTCCCCTCGAGCTTGTATCGGTGATTTTACCCTTTGTTTGTCAGAATTCAGAAACATGCCTGAACCTTCATTTCTTTCCCGCTTTTCCTTTGTGGCTAAAAGTAAACAGAGAAAAAAAATAAACATTTACTTTACTGCATTTTTACTAAAAACCTTCAGATTGGAAAAAAAAAAAAAAGAGTATACACCCAGTACAACAAGTACTATCAGATCCTGCAGACAGAGACAGATGTCGGATAAATTGTATCCTTTATCGCCTGGGCAGGAAAATTCAAGAACAAGGATGATGTGTCAGAGTTCTAGTACCGACAGAGGCATAAAGTCGATTAGTCGTACGAAGAAGGTATGGGAAGGAGAGGTCAAAGAAAGGCTCAGACCAGAGATCATTGAGCAGGAGTTGGGTTTATGTCACTGGTTTTGAGAGTGCTGGTAGAAAAGTTCAGAGACGGTCAGAACGGGTCGCCCTGTGTCTTCGTGGATTCAGAGAAAGCCTATGATAGGGTGACCGGGGGGGAAACGGCGGTACTGTATGAGACAATCAGGACTGGAGAGGCATATGCTATTCAGCCATTTGAAAATCTGGCCCACGGTGAAAATGAGTTTGACACCACTGGTCTAGGATTTTCCCCATCCTCTTACAATGACTATAAAATATGACATATAGAATGAAAATGTGATATAACAAAACATGGAAACATGGAAGAAACACATACAGGACTCACACCTTTGATCAGGGACTGTAGAGATTCCAAAGCCTGCTGAATATTCGAAGTTTTCATTGGTGGCATTGTCGAGTTCACTGCTGTTCCAGCAGGAAAACCTGATGCAGGAGAAACGGTGTTCCTGACTTCTGCGCTGCTCTGACGGTTCATTATGTCCTTGACCTTGGCATATTCCCTCCTCTCCAAATTGACAGAAACGGGTCTTTGACTTCCTGAGTTACTAAATGGGGTCTGTGCACGCTGTTTATCGGCCAAAGTAGTATCTTGCGGTTTGGAGTTTCTATCGTGCTGGGAAAATTCTGGGAAAAGAGCGACGCCGGACTTATCCCTTCGTTCGGTAACTTCTTTTCCATACAGGAACGACTCTTCGTCTTCTAATTCATCTGCCTTTGGGTGTCCGGACGTTGCTTCCGCTGTTTGAGTTTGAAGCCAAAAGAAATCGCTTCCTACTCTGTCGTGGGGAAGAACCGTGCTTTCGTTTTCCAGTGAGGAATTCTCCTGAATCAGATTTTGGCTTTTGCCTTCCTTGGACGCCTGTGGAGACCATAAAACAGCCACATAAATACTTGTCCTTGACTTTAAAAAACAAAAACAAAAAAAACTAGCGCACTGATGGTAATGGTAGGCACACTGTAAATTGCAGTTTTGAATACACTAATCGTCATCAAACATCATTCTCATATGGTGCACCCCTTCAGCTGAGGGAAAAGTTAACAATGTCGTCCTACCTTTATCGTAAGAATGGCATCTTTGAGATCTGGCAACCGCTCTTCGAGTTCCTTGCTTTTCATGACCATCTTTAGTCCTTCCACCAGACTTTTCCCTGGTTGATCATTATTTCCCATTATGTTGCTTTTAGAATCATTTAGGTTCATTTTCATCTTTAAATCTTTACTGTGCCTTTTCTCAGTACTGCGACTCCTACTTCGCGATTTGGACCTTCTGAGCCGACTCTTGCTTCTCGCGTGTCTTTTCTTGCTGTGACTCCTGCTGCGGCTCCTGATGCGAGTCTTGTCTCTGGCTAAACTCTTGCCACGAGTTCGACTTCGGCTCCTGCGACTTCGGCTCCTACGACTTCGGCTGCGTCCTCTGCTTTTACTCCGTGCACTGCTGCTCCTGCGACTTCTGCTGCGTGCTCTGCTTTTACTTCGTCCACAGCTTTTGGCTCGTGATTTCCCACGGCTGCGTCCCCGACTTCGGCTCCTGCTCATGATCTTATTGAACACATGATCCGATTTGAGCGTGTCCTTCAGGACACTGGCCGACTTCAACGCTTCTGCAAGATTGTATGCCATGTCCCCTTTCAAATAGTCTGGGAGCGGTTTGTTTGCTGCAAGGCATCTCAAGAACACCTCCCCGGCTTGATCACTAAAAGAAAAGTGGAACGGAACAAGAACTCATTAGAACAGATATTACACATCAATTCAAAGCATTTAGTGAGCAGAGGTACCTATCGCCGAGATTTTTCCCAGGTGTGGAATTCCACTGCGGAACGTGCTGCTGTGGTGGGTCTGCAGGAGAGACTATCTGCCGGCTGCCTCCCAAACCAATCACTGTACTAGCGTCGATGGAGAAGCTGCTACAATTGGACTGGAGAGTATTCAGAAGTCATGTTATAGAACTTAACAAGACAATACCGTAACCGTAATATAGTGTTTCCCTTTAATTGTGTGCAGTAACAGAATACCCAGTTGGCTATAATTGTGTACAGAGACATTGGTGCTGAGAATGACTTGGAAGTCCCAATGTCAAACTGGAAGAGATTTCACAGAATGGTCAATCATCTTTACATGGTGTTGACTGACGAAAAAACAGAAGACTGTCGCGCTACATGTAACAAAGTAACAACGACAGGAAGATACAAACAAACGTAAGGCTTAAAAACAGCAACGCTAATGACATACTGACCAATAATATGAGCTGAAATAGAGATTCACATAAATCATTGAGTCACTGTGTAAGATTTCCATGTAGGATTTGATACACAGGGCTGGAAAATCTAGCATTGGTTGGCTGTTTTTCTAGCATCTTTTAATAGGGGAAGCCTAATATGGCTTTCCCCTGATAAGTAGTATTAGAATATATTTTAATTAAAATATTTTTTTATTTTTAGGTATACCATCTGCTCTACTATCACTAGAATATATATATATATATATATATATATATATATATATATATATATATATATATATATATATATATATTCGTATTAATAACTACATTCTGTTTGCTAGTCTTTGCCTTCGTAGCTGTTTATTTAAATTTTGGTCACAACAATATTTTAAATATTTTCTTTTTAAATGTGATTTAAATAAATCCCAGCCACTGGAAAACCGACTAATCAACATTGTGCATCTTTGCACTACATTTTCAGAAGCTCATGAAAATGTAAATAAAATATTTTTTTGTTTATGTAAAGTCCAAGTCAGTTCAATAATTACATTTTCAATTTCTTAAAAAAAAAAAATCTTTATAATTAGATATTCAGTTGGAAAAAGCATGCATTCATAAACGTCACAAGTCTAGACACGTGTGTATTTAGGCATTTTATTGTTTACAGCTGTGAGTGACACTGTACAGTAGTCTTTCCCTTAGGCAAACACAGCAACATAAAATATCTAGCTGTGACAGGTACTTGTTGATGCTTGTGTCATGAAATTGCAAATTTTCTTCAGCCATCTTGAATTTCACTCCCTTTATATAGTTCCCTGTAAAAGAAAGGTAACCACATGAAAGGCATTGCTGGTCACAAAGTGTATTATATTTTTGAGTTATATTACAAATTGCATTATAGAAGGGCAACAAAACGCGACTTATTTAATGCATATAGACACATTCGCTACTAGAGCCAAGTTAATTTTGTAACTACCAATGCATATTAATGACTTACTCTTGAAATTAGCTAAGAAACTTAGTATGTAATTTAGCATTATTCGGTGTCAAAGACAGATAGTATTTTCAAATAAATCACATCAGTTGCCTAATTATGGACAGTATATTCAGTCAGTATAACACTTGATACTGCAAATTACACAAACAAGGAAATGTATACTGACCACTGCTGAAATCCATGGACAATCTTGGCTGCAGATGCTGTATGCATGAGGAATTTCTTCAGGAATGAGAGATAATAACATCCTGACCGGAACTACACGGAATAGTTGCCAGGTGATGATTTGGGTGAAATCGGCACAGAGGTAGGAATCCCTCTTAAATTGAGAGCGAACTCTTTACATTCTTCTTTACAGCGACACGCAAACGGAAAAAAATCGGAATTGAAAATGCAAATGCTAAACCTGCCTGTCAATCATTAAGTTAATTGAGAGCTTCAATAGGAAAATATATATTTTGTAGTTTAACCTTTACATTGTAATAAACAAGCGACCTTTGCAGTTTTACAATATGTATTTAACATCTTATGATCTATGAAATGACAGTTATAGAATTAGGAGTATTACTGGTATTTTTTATTTTTAAATTATGAATTTTATTGATCCCGTGCTGGGGAAATTCTCATGTTAACAGCAGATCTGATCTTGGAGGCACCAAGTATGATGTTCCTCTGGGAGTAGTCTCTGCCATCTATATGTGTATATATGTATATATATGCATATATACACACACACACACACACACACATATATATATATACATATATTAACTTATTTAGCTGTACTAAATTACTTGAATGTCGACTTAGAGTTTTCATTGTTTGGTGTAACCTCGCTTCCTGTATTCTGGCAAATATAAATATATCTTAATAACTCATAAGCCTGGCAAGAATTGCCAAGGTTAGGGAACAGTAAAGGAGGATGACACTTACATTATATTATAACAAACAACAACATTTATGAAATATATTAAATCAATTATTATTGTACATGTTTTTCTAATAATGTGACAAGACGTGCACTGGTTCATTGTGAAAGCAAACTTAAAAATAATGGTAATATTAACGATGTAATTCGAAGTCTTCGTACAACCAATTGTTTTCTCTTTATATTGCGTGCATCTGAATATATGGAACATGTGTGAAATTATATCGTAGCAGTGAACCTAAACCCCATAGTCAAAAACAAATTGTTTGTAATTTAAACAGGACGGCACGAGTTAAAACATCTCATTCAAATAGTGTTGTGGAAAGTGGTTTGCGTCCGACAGGCGACCACGTCATCACACTGCGACACCAAACACATTGTTTTCGAAATAACTTATTAGTAAAAGAAGGCAGAACACCAGTCACTCGTTAGATACAATTCATAGCAACATGTGTCTCTAATTACTAATGACAGCACCTATATTATCTTTGTAGAAAGTACCTTAGATAGCTATGTTTTAAACCACTAGGCTAGCTGAAACACCATGGTGGGTACGTACTCTGTTAAAATCGTCCCTCCGAGGTATATTGTGGATAAAATTAATGTCAGGTGGAGGCACAGAGTAGGGTCCAGGAGGCACGGGTCCGTTGGGAGGGTAGGTACTTGGCCCCCTGACGTTGTATGGCAGGCCAGGTGGAAAGGGTCTGAACGGCGGCGGTCCACGTGGATGTTCGCCTGGTCGGTACATAGTCGTGGTCAATATAGATAGTCTACTACACCCTAAAACTCAGGGAAATACAATTGCTAAAATTCAATACATCTACTTTTCAATTACTGCAGCCGTTCACAGCGACTTCTGTGATATCCGGAAGTACATCAGTGACTCGCAAATACTTCCGGAACAATCGATTCAAAATTTAAAAAAAACTTCTTTTTTTTTACAAAAAATGTGCAATTAAATGAAATAGCTTTTAAAGGAAGTGAATTCACTAATCTGAATAAATAGATTTATTTGGTTGTTGCTTATTAGTATAAAGTTAGAATAACTACGACACAGCGATTCTGAATAAATAATATTTATTTGGTTGGTTGTTGCTTATTAATATAAAGTTAGAATAACTACGACACAGCTTGCCTCTTGCTATAATACACTTACGAAGTTAATACATTCCCATGGCAAAGCATATTAAACCATGTTGTAGCTCAGTTTCTATTGACTTTGATTAGATAGTTCTGACTGGGAGTCACTGAGAAGTGGACACATTACTGCGTGATGGTCGGACACACTCTTTGAGAGGCAGAATTATTTTTATTGGCATCGCTTTTGAAAAATATTTTTTACTGTCAGCCACATGCAATCTCCGTTGAACAGTCAAACTCACAGGCATCAAATGACATATATAACAAAAAAATGTTATAGTTTGTTCTATTCACGTTCTTTTTCATCCCTCAATGGGGATGGTAGTTTAGTTTCTAATTCGAAAAAATAACATTTAAAGAAATGTTTCAAGAACCCATCAATACCACTTTCTGAACTTTATGGGTCACAAATAATCTTTCAAACAAGAAGTCAATCTTTCACTCAAAAAACAAAAACAAAACAACAAACGTACTTATCTCTGACCACCGCTCTACCAACTGAAAAAAATGTTATTTTATTCGTTCAGATTTTATTGCTTATTTACACATCCATGCAATCTCTACATGATGAGACGTCATAAATAAAGAAATCCCAGTCAAATCTACTAAAACAAAATCAGGACTGGAAAGGTAAAATTGTGTCCAAATTCAAGAGGAGCAATTATGTTGTTGATTTTTGTGTGGAACGTCTTGGATACAATATGTGCACCCACATTAACATCAAAAGAAAGTCCTTGTCTTTTAAAGAAATGTCCAACGTAAGATTTATCATATGCCACAAGACGAGTCAGAACAGCAGAGTCCATCAAATCAAGGTATTTATATACGCGTTATAATATTAACATGTCAGAAGCCTAGCTAACACATGTAGCAGCTTGTGTAGTAGTGCAAAGGTTTGTGTTTTGATTTAATGGCATCATCCCAAAATGAGCATAGCATTTGGGCTCCAAAAAGTTTTTACTTTCTCAAGACACTATGTGCCTGAAAAAAAAAAAATTATGAAACAGCATTGCCAGATTTATGACATGTCTTTTTTTAACTTGTCTAGCATAACCTGCTCGGCCTGTTTATATTAATTGACAGATAGTAAATAGTCCTTTTTTGTGTGGACTCTGCTGCAGTGCCCCCTGGCTGTCTTCAACTAGTGTAATGTCTCCCTTGATTAAAGCCAGCTTGATTATAGTACTGCCCCCCCTGCTGGAAGAACTGTTCAAACTGTCCACCTTGGTTAAAATTAGGGCCCCCTCTAGCTCCCCATCCTCCCCCCTGTCCACCTCCTCCGCCACGGCCTCCTCTTCCCCTGCCTCCTCGGCCTCCGCGACCTCCACCTCTCTCCTGATGCCATCCTGCATCTTGGTGGTAACCGTCATGGTAACTGCCACCTCCTCCTCCGCCGCCGCTGCCGCCGCCACCTCCATGGTACCCTGATTCCTGGAACCCTCCTTGGTTGCCCCCCCC